TTTGCTTCCGAGAAACATGCAAAACGGAATGGAAAACATGAAATTTTGCAATAATCTTGCGCCACCCTTGCACAAAACGCCGATCATTTTTCTAAGTTCATAAACAACAGAAGACTGTATTTTTTCTACATAAGCCCCCCCCCTGAGCTGGATCCGCCCCTGAGCAGAGGCCGGATAAACTTACAGAGTGTCTCAATAGAATGTCGATTACAAAAAGATCAAAACGGGCATCATTTCGTAACGCATAAATAAACATTCGGCTGCGGAAGCACAAAACTCCAAACCAAAAAAGTAATTTTCACCTCTTGTTTACGGACATTCTATTATAAAACACCCTGCATATGCGTACTTATTATGTAAATTATTAGCTAAGTTCAAGCAAATGCATTGCACGATTTAAATTAGGTATCGCCAATTGATGAGTTTACTAAATCACATTCAATAGGACTGAAATTATGTATCACAGCTTTGAAACAATCGATTAGAGACAGTTTTTAATTGTTCATAAATATATAACGATTAGAATTTAATGACTTATAACAATGCCCGGGAAATTAAAGGAAAACGCCACTTTTTATTTAGTAATCTAAGTAAAATTAATTCCCAGGAACAATTTGATATCCGTTTAGTAAAGCTTTAGCTGATTTGTGGTATCAACTGACTCAAAAAGTATAAGCATTTAAATGGAACAGCTTATCTTCCCGTTTCTTAATCCAGTTCAGTAACTTACTCACGCTCATGATTGCACTTGAAGTTTCAATTAGCGGTTCGAAGATCGCATACAGCTCGAACCCCTTAGTGTCCCAAGAGAAGACGGCCTCATCCGCTGACCGTTCAAAGCTGAGCTTTAAAGACCTGCTCGAATAGTGCATTTTATGATGGGCCCTCTTGTAAAGCTCCATCAGTTTGATGCGATCTCTGGCATAAGGCGGACATGCGGCTGGTTGATAGAACTGAGCGGTCGATTTGCACTTGTACAAGTAGTGGCGCACCTCCGGAAATCCGGCCGCTAAAGCGCTTTCCTCCAATGAGGCAAGCGACGCATTGATGTGCTCCATTCCGCCGTTGATTCGCAGTTTTTCCACAATTTTCTGTTTGGCGCCGCTTAGAGGAAAAAACACGTCGCGTTCGACCGTCAAGAGCAGCAAACAGGCCTGGCAATCGTCCGCTAGATACGAAACGTGCGCGTACAGAAAGCCGCTGTTATCGAATCGGGGCAAACAGAACGGGGTCCAACTTTCCGAGTACTTCAAGCTTTCGTTAGCCAGCACTAGATTGAAGATCAGATGCAGATCCATCGGGTGCAGATGGTACTTTTTCATTTGGACGATGGTGATCAGGCGGTTGTTTCCCAGAAGAATTGCAAATACCAAGTTCTGAAAATTTGATTTCCAATAAAAACCCTTCGAACTCAAGTCGAAAACAAACCTTTATTTTACTGCAGGCGTCCTTAATGGCCTTGCTGATAGAATCTCGATCCGGCAAAGCGAGCGGTAGACACTGTATGGCCCCCAGAGTAAAAGCTGGCTCTGTTTCAGAGAAGTCCAGCAGATGATCAATCAGCCTGTCCACTCCAGTCAACAGTCTTCGCAGATCGTAGTTGGGTCTCTCATCATACGTCTTTGTTAGCCTTTTCAGCGTTAACATACTGACTATTTGGTTGAATACATAACTGAAAAAATCACCTATCATTAGGCTCTTTTACGTAAAACTAGCTACGGACGTACTTTAGCTGCAATGTCAGCTGACTAACACTCTCCCCAGTTTTTGAAACAGCCACTAGAATTAAGGGTTTTTTGGACAGAAACACATAGGTGGTATCGCCGGCATGGATGCTCTTGATGCTGTCGCGACTATACTTGAATAGGCCTAACATGACCCCAAATAGCCAGGCCAACTTATCTTCATTTCCATATCTGGGAACAAAAGACCAGGCAATGTTCAGCGCAAATTCCAAACAAGTTTCTACATTGGACTTACCTAGAATAGATAGGTTTCCCTGCCGTACTCAATACAAATATATGCTTCTTCTTTGAGGTCCATTCCACAGAGTTCTCTATTTCCTCTTCAGGTTCTACCCCATTTTCAGCTTTACTGGACGACTCCTCGCCATTGTCCGCTTGGGCTCCTATCAGATTTAGGTCTTCTCGTGAAGAAACTGCGTTTTCTGTGATAATTTCTTCCAAACTGGAGCTCATTTGCTCGAAATTGTCAAACGACCCCGAAGCTATTAACACACTGTCTCTGGCAGCTCCCGGCTCTATATCGAACTCTGCCATGGCGATTATGGGGACTTAAGACACTATTATATTAATCTAATTAAATAAACTAATCATAATTAGGTTTGTTTACTTTGGGGGTTGTTTAAGTTTTTATAACCTAAATCACTAGGAGTGACTTTTAGGAAGATTGTCCTTGCAGTTGGTCGATTTGGCAATGTTGCTCACTCATCTCAAATTTCTTGAGTACTTGATCATTTTTAAAAATTCCTGTTAATTCCCGATCAACTCCCATTGAGCGGGCACTTTTCATAGCTAAATCTCAGCTTTGTAAATATTTTTTAAAATTCCTGAAACATTCAGAAGCGAAATCCGGCAGCAAGGCACTTTCCCAGTACGAATTTCCCTTGACATTTGACTGCAAGCAAACCTAACCCCGTAAAACGTAAACTTGAGAATGTTTTATAAACAGCCCACAAACATCGTCTATTTTGTGTGAAAAATGGCAAATAGAACGGTAAAAGATGCCAAGTCAATTCATGGAACCAACCCGCAGTACCTGGTGGAGAAAATCATCAGATCCCGCATCTATGACTCCAAGTATTGGAAAGAGGAGTGCTTCGCCCTCACTGCTGAGCTTTTGGTTGATAAAGCTATGGAGCTGCGGTTCGTCGGTGGTGTTTATGGGGGCAACATCAAGCCGACGCCATTCCTGTGCCTCACGTTGAAGATGCTGCAAATCCAGCCCGAAAAGGACATAGTGGTGGAGTTTATAAAGAACGAGGAGTTCAAGTATGTGCGAGCGTTGGGGGCCTTTTACATGCGACTGACCGGGTCCTCGTTGGATTCCTACAAGTACCTGGAGCCTCTGTATAACGACAACAGGAAATTGAGGCGCCAGAATAGACAGGCTCAGTTTGAGCTGGTTCATGTCGATGAGTTCATTGACGAACTCCTCAGAGAGGAAAGAGTAAGTGAAACTGTCTCCAGTCCCGTGTGGTTGTGTGTTGACGATCAAGTTCTTTTAGGTATGTGACGTGATTTTGCCCAGACTCCAAAAGCGCCACATCTTGGAAGAGAACAATGAAATAGAGGCTAAAGTGTCTGCGCTGGAAGACGACATGGATGAGGAAATGGAGCTGGAAGAACCGGACCTCACAAAATACCATGTGGTTGAGAACGCCAAGCCCAAAGAGAAAAAGGAGAGGAAAAGAGAGCGAAGCAAATCGAGGGAGAGGCATCGGAGCAGAAGCAGAGATAGAGACATCAGACACAAGAAGGAGAGACGGGATAGAGGAAGGGACAGGGAGAGAAGAGATAAAGACAGGGACAGGGAGCGGAAGAAGAAAGAGGATGATAGAAAAAGGCGATAAGTTCAGTGAAAATCAATTTTTAATTACTTTGCAGTGGATTAAATGCTCAGTCGCATTAAAAATACCAAAATTACGGTTTTCGAGATTTAATAGTAGTTTTGCTGATCACCATGTTTTTATGACTTTCCATTTTGTGCCCCCGTAGAACCGAATGACTTGCTTTGGTTAATGGCCGGCGTTTCGGCACTACAACAAAAAGCATCCTATAAGTTTCAATTATTGAAAAAAACAATTATTAAATGCTTGCATACAATGATTCCATGATAAGTAAACCGGCTCAGCGTCATCAAAGGCCGATAAATCGGTCAATTGTCTGCATCTAATTTCCCGAATTATTGAAGCAGAAGCGGCCTTTTGCAAGCTCTTGGGGTAGTTGCTGGGCAGACCTAAAATTAGACTTATTTTAATTGAAATTTTCGTATTTTCAAGTGGTGTTTTATATGAATCACGTAAATATAAACAGTGGAGTTTGCCAAGCTGACAAAAATCAGAACTCTGGGCGATTGTTGTGAAATTCACAGTATCGATAGATAGCACTTACACATAGAGCCATTAAATTGTCACATTGGGAGTATAGAACAAAAACCTTGAAAAAATAAAAAATCTATTATTAATAAACAAATAACCACGGTCATTTTTCGAACCAATCATAAAGCAAAGGATAAATAAAATATACAATTCAACTAAATCGAAAAGCATAAATAAAAGAAGAGAATGTGATATCAAGTATATATCATTTCCGAAAATTAACACAAAAATAAAAAATATTAGTTATAAGTTAGACACGCCTAATGTAATTTACAAAAAATTTTTTTTTTAACTATCTGTTATTTTAGAAAAACTGATGATGGTGGAAAAATACACCGAAACGTATTTTAATTGATAAATAAAAAAAGAGACAATAAATGACTGAAACGCAGGAATTAATTTTGATTAGCATCGATAGTCATGCACCTTCTAACAATGAGGGAAATTAAAAAAAAATCGACTAAAGTTCTGATGTTTGTCGGCTTAATAAATATCGGGCTTAAAATTGATATTTAATTACTGGTATGCAGTCTGTCCTTTAAACAGTTTCTCTTCCGAACTAAGGCTAGTAGAACTTTKAAATTTTCAGCATCTTTGGACACACACCTGACTCTAAAGGTGCGCTGAAAGTTTCGTAAAAAATCTCAAAAATGGATGTTCCAAGCTAAAGCAAGGCAACGTTTCGAATATTTCCGCGTCTTTARAAGGCRCGTGATTTAAAACATCAAATTCTTATAAAACACTCTGTTTATTTAGCAAAACATACCTGGAACGACATCAGCAATATTTATGCTGGGTTTCGGTCCGCACATCAGTTTCCCTTCTTCAAATCTCTGAATAAATGTTCTGCTCAGTTCCGAAATGCTTTTATTGTCCAAAGTCTCTGAAATTAAGTCCTTTGCAATTTTTGTGAATTAATGTGTTCGGTTCCATACCGAGACGTTGAGCATTGGCAATAATCTCCTCTCTATAACGATGCTGTTTACTGATCGGGTTTCCATTTAGTTTGGCTTCGCGCAAATAGAGCCAATTTCTTACAGTTTGGCACGCGTCTCGCATATCATCCAGGTCGTTAAAAGAGGCATCAATTACCATCAGGTTTTTTAACGGCGACAGAAACCTTAGAGAGGCGATTTTGTTATGGGAAATATTGAGCACCAGCAGGGTTTCCTGGAAATAAATTGCCGATTTGTCGGACAATGCGACGATTTTTGTGCCATTTTA